CGCTGGTAGTCAGCAAACCTCCGTCAAAAATATATTAAAATTAAACTGGACTGCTCGATTTAAGTAACGCGCAAATAATGCCGCTCAATTTATTTTCATTTTATCTCCTCAACTTAGCTGCTATCAAATACAACAGGGTTCCTTTTTAATATCGTAAATTCTTAGATGTAACATAATACATTGGGCGAATTCATATAAGGTGATTTGTAGGGTTGCAACAATGTGTGCTTGATCGCATTACATCACCCTCCTTTGGAAAAAGAAGAATTTGGCAACGTGATCAATTTTGCCACATTCTTCTTGCCCAAAATTTATAATCACAATTAAATTGTTTTGAAGGAACGAATTTAGGAAATGCTTAAGGGATATTCCTCCCTCTTTCATTCGTTCGTTCAAATCAATTTAAGTTTTGGTAAATATTAGATATTTAAATAAGAGCTATTGTATTTACTTAATTATTACTTATTTTATTTATTAAAAGCTATTTAATTGGCAAAGTATCGTATTTGTAAAATAAAATTGAGTAATTATTTTCGTAAACAACTTATGAGGCTATTTGATTGAATTTTACATAAATACATATTAATTGCTTAAGAAAAATGGAATTAAATTTTTTTTTTTTTGTTTTAATATTTGTATTTAGATTTTCTGAGTTATATTTTTAACAATGTATGAAAAATGCTTTCGGTTTAATAAATTCATTTAGTATTTTGGAAAAAAAAATCTTATATTATAATTTTGTGGAAAAATATATTGTAAACACTTATAATAGTTAGTTTTGTTTGTTTGTTTTTTCTTTTGAGCTAGATTTCATATTGAAAATTTGTACATTTCAGATTATTATTTTTTTTGTTTTGTACATTTTTGTTTTTGTTTATGAGGTAATAAAGTGAAAGTAATTATACATACGTATATACATATAGAAGAAAATTTTTTTTTTTTATTTTATTTTATGAATTCTATTTTTGTGTACTGTTTTTTCTTTGTTTTTCGCTTCATCAAAAATTGTGACGTTTACCGTCAATTTTTCTTATAACGTATGGCCCTTGGTATATGTTTTCATGCTTATTGCGTGGTTCTTTTTGAACAAGAACCCTGTCATTAACGCTAATTGATAATGTACGCGCCGTTTTATCATATATTAGTTTGTTTCGAATTTTGTGTTTATTAATTAATTCTTTAACGATTTTGTGCGACTTTTGCATGCGATATTTAACTTCTTTCGCGTAATTTTCTACATTATAAATCGGGTCAATTTTATCTTTTTTCCAATCTTGAGGCACTGTTGCCTTTTTCCCAAATATTAATTCAAATGGGGAAAATTTATTATCGAAAACTGTGTTAGTTGTTGTGTTGTGTAAAAATGTAAAATATTTTAAATAAACATCCCAATCGGAAAATGTTTCATTTAAATATGCTCGTAAATATTCATTAAAAACTCTGTGGTTACGTTCGATAGTACCCACAGTTTCATGATGGTGTGCGGTTGAAAAATCATGTTTAACCTTTAAAAGTTTGGTTAATTCAGTGAAAATTTCATTTTTAAATTCGGTGCCTAAGTCTGATTTAATGGAATTCATTACACCGTAAGTTAAGACAAAACTTTCGAAAATGGCAGATGCAATCGTTTTAGCGCTTTTATCTGGAACAGCTACTGTTACTAAATACTTTGTTAAATCGCATATAATGGTAATTGCGAACCTATTACCATTATTTGACTCTGGTAGGGGTCCTAATGTGTCGATTACAATAATATCAAATGGTTTGCAAGGT